GTGGGGCTGGCGCGGGATCAGGCAGTGTTTCGTTCTGCTGTGCATGGGGTCGCTATGAGTCAGAAACGACTCGACGGCACTTAACAACAACATCCTATACATAGAAAATCACAGAGACTCAACAAGAAAACTACTAGAACTAATAGAAGGCCTCAGCAAAGTGGCAGGTACAAGATCAACATACAAAATTCAGTAGGATTCCTCTACATTAACAAAGAGAACTCTTAAAGGGAAATCAGGAAAACAGTGCCATTTTTAATAGCCCCCAAAAGATGAAGTACTTAGGAATAACTCTAACCAGAAACACAAAAGGCCTACTATTACAAAACCCCAATACAAAGAAAACCATAAAACACTACCACAAGAAACCAGAAGAGACCTACATGATAGAAGAATGTATCATGTTCATGGATAGGAACACTTCACATTGTAAAAATGACAGTACTACCCAAAGCAATCTACAGATATAATGCAATCCTGGTCCAGATTCCTTTATCATTCTTTAAAGAGATGAAAAAACTAATTACCAACTTTATATGGAAAGGAAAGAGACCCCAACTAAGCAAAACACTAATAAAGAAGAACAACAAAGTAGGAGGCCTCACACTCTCTGATCTCAAAACTTATTATACAACCACAGTAGTCAAAACAGCCTGGTATGGCACAATGACAGACACAAAGACTAATGGAATTAGAATTGAGAACCCAGAAATAAATCCACCCACCTGTTAACAGCTGATCTTACAAAGGGCTGAAGCCCATTAAATGGGGAAGAGATTGTCTCATTAATGTATGGTACTGGCATAACTGGACATCCATTGCAGAAAAATGAGACAGGATCCACATCTCACACCATATACAAAACCTAACTCAAAATGGGTCAAAGACCTAAAAATAAAACCTAAAATTATGAAGATCTTCAAATCAAAAATAGGGACAAACTTTGGGGCTCTAATACATAGTATAAATACACTCTCAGATGTAACTAAAAATGTATAACCAGCAGAAGACAAACTAGACAACTGGGAACTCCTGAAAATTAAACATGTAAGGAGCTCTGGTGGCATAATGCCTAAGGCATTTGATTGCTAACCAGAAGGCTGGTAGTTCAAACCCACCAGCCACTCCTCAGAAGGAAGACTGGGCAATCTATTTCCATAGAGATACGCCTTGGAAACCCAAGGAGGGGTGGCTATGAGTTGGATCCAGCTTAATGGCAGTGAGTTTGGTTTTGGTTATGCACATCAAAAGACTTTGCCAAAAGAGTGAAAAGAGAACCTACAGATTGGGAAAAAAAATTTGGCAATGATATATCAGATAAGGGACTAATCTCAAAAATTTACAGAAAACTTCAACACCTCAACAAAAAAATGCAAGTGTTCCAATTAAAAAATGGACAGAGGGCATGAACAGATAATTCACCAAAGAAGATATTAATATAAGGTGGCCAACACATGAAGAAATGCTTGTGATAATTAGCCATTAGACAAATGCAAGTAAAAACAACAATAAACTATTATCTCACCCCAGCATTGATAGCAAAGTTCAAAGAAACAGAAAATAAATGGTGGTAAGGGTGTAGAGAGACTGAAACCCCCTTACATACTGCTGCTAGGTTTGTAAAATGGCACAACCACTGTGAAAAGTGGTATGGTGCTTCTTAAGAAGTTTGAAAAAGAAATACCATATATCCATCAGTTCCACTAGTAGGTGTATATCCTCGAAAGTAAGTGCTGTGACCCAAATAGATATATGTACACCCAAGTTCATTGCAGCAGCACTGACAATAGCAAAAAGACAGAAACAACCTAAGTGCCCATCAAGAGATGAATGGATAACCAAACTATGGTACATGCACACAATGGAATATTACACAACACTAAAGAATAACAATCTGTGAGACAACTTATAATATGGATGAATCTAGAGAACATTATGCTGAATGAAATTAGTCAATCACAAAGGGACAATTATTGTAAGAGACCACTACTGTAAAAAGCTAAGAAAAGGTTTACACACCAAAATAATCATTCTTTGAAGGTTACTAGGGATGGGAGGTGAAGGGACTAGAGAGTGAGCACATAATAACTTACGTTATGGGTGAAGGGAAAGGCACTATATAATAAGGGGAAGGTCAGCACAAAATGTTCAAGGGAGTGGAAGACAGTGAGGAAGCACAAGAGTTAAAGGCAATAATACTGCATTAACAGTAATAATAATAACAGTCTTCGAGTGGATACATAGATGAACATTACATCTGAACAGGGGTGGGAAAGGGAATAGGACTACATCCATGAATATATATAGGTGTGACAGAGGATCTCTCTTTCTATGTATTTACACGTGGTGCAAATATATCTATGAATGTAGTATACATACAGGAGGCAAAGTTATGAAAACTTCTTAGTCATAGCCAAACACCTTAGGAATGAGTCACTGGGCATGGAGGATCAGAACCATAGTCTTGAGGGTCACTTGGCAAAGCATAGTCCATGAAGATGAGGTTCTACATCCTACTTTGATGAGTAGTGAATAGGATCTTAAAAACTTGTGAGCAGCCATCTAACGTATGTCTATTGGTCTCTTCCCATCTGGAGCAAAGAAGAGTGAAGAAAATCATAGATACAAGGTAACAGTTAGTTCAAGAAACTAATGGTTTAGTGAACCCCAGCATCCATGACCCTGAGATCAGAAGAATTAAATGGTGCCTAATTATCACAGCTGACTGCTCTGAAAGGGATCATATAGGAATCCCCAGATAGAGTAGGGGAAATTTAGAACAAAACCAAAATCATAAAAAAAGAACAGGCTTACTGGTCTGATGAAGACTGGTGGAACCCCCAAGACTATAACTCTTAGATATCCTTCAAACTAGGAACTGAACTTAGCTTCCGTGACTCAACTTTCAGCCAAATGATAGACAAGGGCAATCTACTTCCATAGTGATAACTGCTTTGGAAACCCAACGAGGGGTTGCTGTGAGTCGGGTCCGACTCAACGGCACATAACAACAACAACACCAACAATAAGGTGAAACTTAATACCAGGTATGCACATGTTTGAAGAATCAGGCATACGAGATCAAGAGGATAGCATTTACCCAGGGATAGAGCTTGGGAAGGCAGGAAGGATTGGGAAGAAAGGATGAAGGAAAGGGGCGGCCTCAGCAAGGAAGTGCGAAGAATGCTGCTACAGTGTGGGATTGCCTTAAATGTCACAAAACAATTTGTATGGATTGTTGAATGGAAAACAAATTTGATCTGTAAACTTTCACCCAAATCACTATAAATTTCTTTTTTCTTTTAAAGAGGAGGGTGAATTATATTAGGTAGCGGCACATAGTAGATTTCTAAGGTAATGTTTCCTTTTTTAACCTGGGTAGTGGTACAACTGTGATGTTTTATTATAATGTGTATATGTATTTTATATTCTTATATACTATATTTAATAATAAAAATATTAGAGAGCTCTCTATATACTAATAGAGAACTATTTCCAGGATACTCTTGATTTTTTTTTTAATATCAGTAGAGGCTTGTTTTTTTCTTATTAGTCTTATGAAAGAACCATGAAATGAAAATATCAAGATTGGGACAATGAGTAAGTTTTTAAGATATTAAAAAAACTTACCTTGTATGTACACACACATACACACACACAATACAAACTGGTAAATACTCCCTCTGGAGAGGAAATGGCATTTTCCAGGGCACAAAAGTGGGGAGAGATTTGCTTTTCACTTTTTTTTTTTTTCTTAGTATTTTGAATTTTGTATCATACTATTCAAACAATAAATTTCATATGTATTTTGTTTAAAAAATGAAAAGGAAAGACAATACTGAAAAGAAACATTTGGGACTTAACATAGCGGTTAAGGCTATATGCTTTGAACACACAAGTGTCAGTATTGAGGATTGAAATTAAAAGTTAATATCCAGAATATATAAATAACAGCCTATCCAAATCAATAAAAAAAACAAAAATTAAAAATAGAAAAATGAAAGAACAGGAATTATCCAAAAAAAAAATTGCAAATGGCCAATTATGATGCTCACCGTCCTTTCAGGAAAATGCAAATTAAATACCATACAATTTCTCACACATGATAGTTTAACAAATAAATTATTTAATAAAAATAAAGTGTGGGTAAGGGGAGGTTACTTACATTGTTTATGAAAGAGTAAATTGTTAATAGTGCTTGAAAGGTGAATATTTATCAAGATTATAATAAAATCCTTTTCGAACCAGCATTTGCACTTTCAGAAATTTATCCTGTAGAAATACTGAACTCTCTGCATAAAGGTACATATAAGTGAGTCATCATTGCATTATTTGTAGTAGTAAGAAATTGGAGATAACCTAAATATTTATGGACAGAGTAATAGTTAAATGATATATACTCCTCCTGAAGAATGCTCTGCATTCATTAAAAAGAATGAAGTGTCTCTTTGTGAATTCACAAGGAAAGATCTCCAAGATAACGTTTTCATGTGGGAAAAAAAAAGACCCAGGATATTGAAGATACCATATGTGTTATATGATATTGTTTTTAAGACAATACACATAAAATCAATATATAGTCACGCACACACACACATAAATATGTATATACTCACATACACATAAAAATTATTTAGAAAACTGTACACCAAACTGTTAACAGTAATTTTTTGTAGACTAAGGGAGTATGTATAGAAAGTGAAACAAAGGGGGGACTTTGATTTCTTTACCCTATAAAAATTTCACCTTAAAATTTTTTTTACAGCTAAATGAGGGTTATTTCTGTGGTCTGTAAAAAGTAAAACTATACAAACATATGGAAAAGTATTCATGTTAAATTAAAACATTTCATCAAAATAAGCATTCATTTTTTTCTCATTAATTAGTAAAAATAAAAAAAGATGAGAGCAATCAAAGTAATCAAATTCCTTTAAATTCCATTCCTCTTTTAAATCAGTTCTCATTTTTATCATGTTTTTATGGTGCTTTATCTTTTCTAGTATAAATGTCATGAAACAGCTCATCGGTTCATCTAACTTATTTGTGATGCAGGTGGAAATGGATGTATACACAGCTCTTAAAAAGGTACTACGAAATATGATGTGTGCTCAAACATTAACTTACCATTTCTTATATATAGTACTGAGAAACTGGAAACAGCAAGTGATAGAGGAATGACTATATATGTAAGAAAAGTAACAGGAAATATGCGACAGTGTTATAAAGTTTTTATCTTTAGGATTAGGTATCATGAATGCTTTTAGTTGTATTCTTTATATGTTCTATCCTAGGAATACTTCCCTGTTTTTTCCAAGATTTTTTCAACAATAACCATATTATTGTTATGCTGTTTCCATAATCAGAAATGTTTTGTGTAAAAAACATAGAACCCTGGTGGCACAGTGGTTAAAGCACTCAGTTGCTAAATGAAAGGTCAACAGTTTGAAACAACCATTGGCTCCATGGGAGGAAGATGAGACAGTCTGCTTCCCTAAAGACTACAACTTTGGAAATCCTTTTGGGCAACCCTACTCTGTCCTGTGGGAGCTCTGGTAGCATAGTGAGTCGGGGCCGACTCCACGGCACATAACAACAACAACAACAACAACTCTGTCCTGTAGGAGCTCTGGTAGCATAGTGCCTAAGGCACTTGACTGCTAACCAGAAGGCTGGTGGTTCAAACCCACCAGCCACTCCTTGGAAGGAGCCACTCCTCGGAAAGAAGGTTGGGCAATCTACTTCTGTAGTGATAGTGTCTCGGAAACCCAGGGAGGGATCGCTTTGAGACAGGTCTGACTCAACAGTACTTAACAACAACAACTCTGTCGTATCATTATGAATCAGAATCAATTCTATGGCATGGTTTTCAGAAATGTTTCTAAGTTGAGTTTTAGTAGAATTAATGATTTTATGATATAATTTCCAATACGTATTTTATCTAGAAGATGTCAACATTCTTACTTTAAAGACCATATTTATGCTTCAGGCATGTTTCACTTCACCCTTTTGAAAGGTTTCAATATTTCTTAATCTAATTTTATTTTCATAATTCTCTGAAGAGACAAGTCAGCTCTGATTCTTATTCTATAGATGATGAGACTTACAATTCTTAAAGTTACTAAATGACAGATTTGAGGCAGAATCCAGATCATAAAGTCCTACTCTGATGCTCCTCCCACTACATAATTTTGCCTTTAGCTTTTTTGTCCACAGCATGAAATCTCCATTTAATATGATTGTGGAACCTGGGAGCAAGATAATTACCTCTTAGATTTATATCGGGTTTTCTTTGGGGGGGGTTATTTTTTAACTTTTTATTACGATTTGGGTGAAATTTTACAGAGTTGTTTATTTTCATGGTAAAGATGAGATTCCATTTATTTTTCTTCAAGGAAGTTTATTTACTATTTTTGGATTGTTGTTGTTGTTATGTGCCGTCAAGTCGGACCCAACTCATAGTGACCCCTCCTTGGGTTTCTGAGGCACTATCACTACAGAAGTAGATTGCCCCATCTTCCTTCCAAGAAGTAGCTGGTGGGCTGAACCTCGAGCCTTCTGGTTAGCGGTCAAGTGCCTTAGGCACTATGCTACCAGAGCTCCTACTGTTTGGATTAGCTAATCATTAAAGGAATGAAAGAGCACCCATTTCTGTCTCTGAGTATTCATTCTTTCCTATTGTAACTGCTTTTATTCCAGTCATGATAAATGCTAATAGGATACTTACTATGACTCCAACCTCATTCTAATCACATTACACATGCTAAATCTTTCACTGACCTATGAGATGGTCAGTTATTACCATGCTTATTTCACACATGAAGAAATTAAGACCTGCCAAGATAAAGTAATTTGCCCAGCTATTATGTGGCCAAGCTAGGATTTAAAAGTCCATGCTCTTAAGTATTCTACGTGCTGTCTCAATAGCAGTAAGACAAAGAAATTCCTTTTTCCCATGTTAAATTTCTTACTGTTATAATCTCATATAGTATATTATGAAATTGAGATGTTAATTGGTGACTAGAATAAAGTTAGTTTAAAATTTCTAAGGAAATGTATATATTAACCCTTTACCTTTTATTAGCATAATCTACGATATGATTGACACCATCAGTGCTTTTCAGGGATTAGCTTATTCCTTAGCACACATTCATGATGTTTTTATCATTAGACCATAATTAATGTATTTAAAGTCATATAACACACTTTCTTTATGTTGCTTATAAAATGGAAATTAATTTAAGTATTATGTTTTAAAGTAGAAGCAATTTGAAAATGTAAAATCATGAAATGAGGAAGTTTGTAAGTTTTTTCCTTATTTATTTAACCTAGTGGATGTTCCTTCAACTTGTGCCTTCTTGGAATGGATCTTTAAAACAGCTTTTGACTGAAACAGATATCTGGTTCTCTAAGTGGAGAAAAGGTATGCCTGAAACTCAGGTCCCGATTTATTTATAGACTTAAAGAACTCTAGAGTCAGCGAGAACCTTGGCAATTATCTAAATTCAGCTTGTATTTACACTGAAAAAATACAAGTCAGATAACAAAGATGCCTTGCCTAAAACTGTTACTCCTTGAACTGAGACTGTACTCTGATTCCAAGCTATTATTTTCCCATTTTATCACCAACAGGTATTAGTGATTATGTTTGTCTTTTGTTTGACCACAGTGCATTTTCCCTAACAAGCTATCAAGCAGCAGTTCTTAACATGGGGGTCTTTGGACAGGTTTTGGTGTGTAATAACCCACTGAAAGTGGATGGAAAATTTATATTATGTATGTGTGTGTTGCATGAATTTTTCAGGGGGCGAGCTTCCATACCTTTCATCAGATTCTCAGTAGAGACTAATCTAAAACCGGTTAAGATCAATTGCTATAAGGTTTTATGTGAGTAGAAGTGGAGAATACAATATATTTTTACCATGCAAACTTTCCTATTTTGTGTTTTAATGTAGAATTAATATATGAACTAGTGTTCTGGTAGCATAGTGGCTAAGGCACTTCACTGCTAACCAGAAGGCTGGCGGTTCAAACCCACCAGCCACTCCTTGGAAGGAAGTTGGGGCAATCTACTTCCGTAGTGATACTGCCTCGGAAACCCAAGGAGGGGTCGCTATGAGTCGGGTCCGACTTGACAGCACATAACAACAATAACAACAAATGTTCATCACATGGAGCTGTAGCATAAGTTAGAAGAACCTCAAGAGATGTTTGGCTTCTATTTGTAAACATCCTTAAGTGAGGCTTTTGGGTTTTACAGTTTACTCGACTGTTCAATTCTTGGGAACGGAAATTCTGGAGAGATACAGATAACCCATTCTCAAGGCTTCTTTCCCCATCTTGCTTCACTAAGCTCCAAACCCCAGAAAGGCACAGAATGGAATTCCCAGTACAGCAGTCTAATGGGACCAAAGTTAATTTCCTGAGGCTTTTTTCTAAGTCTCCTTAGTTTTTTATCCACAAACCTAAGGTTTATAAAATCCTTGAAAACTTCAAAACCAGTTTATTTTATTCTTTATTTGTATTCTTATAAACATACTGTGTGTGTGTGTGTGTGTGTGTGTGTAAGAAAATATATGGGAATAAAATAATTTGAAAAGAATGACTTTTTAATTTAAACTGTTTTTTATAGATTTTGAAGGTATGGCCTTCCTTGAAACTGAGCAAGGGAAACCATTTGTGTCAGTATTCAGACATTTAAGGATACAGTATATAATTAGTGATCTGGCCTCTGCAAGAATTATTGAACAAGATTCCCTAGTACCTTCAGGTAAGAGAACATGAAGAAATTACGATTTTAAGTAATATTTCTCTGATGATAACAATACATATCATGGAAAAGAATACTGAAAAAAATATAAATTATACTTATTCCCCAAAAGTTATATATCTAACTAGAAGGTTGGCGGTTCAAACCCACCAGCCACTCCTCAGAAGGAAGACTGGGCAGTCTACTTCTGTAGAGATACTACCTCAGAAACCCAAGAAGGGGTTGCTATGAGTTGCATCCAACTCAATGGCAATGAGTATTTTACTGATTACTACTGGAGAGCCTTCTACAGTTTTTGTATTGGTACCACTGCAAGTTTGCATCCCAACACTAAGCTTGGATTTTGAGATTCCCTGTAGTAGTTTTACGTAGTCACTCTTTTTTTCCCATTCCCTACAGCAGTTATATCAAACCTCTGCCACTCTGTTCAAATCTCCTACTCAGTCATCTTACTATCAGCCTGGGAACTCTCCTTCTGTTTTATATATAAACATGAAGTAATCAGACAGTAATTTGTCCAAATTCTCAGTCTTCCTCACCTGTCTGTCCTTTCTTTTTTGTCCCAAAAGTTGCGGTACCATAACCCCCACCACCCCCCCACAACCCCCCCCCCCCATTAAGGGCTACCCTCTACTCTTTCATAATCCTATCACTTCCTGTTTGTTCTGGAATTTTACTTTATCATTTAATCTGTATCTATCCTATATCTTCAGCCTTTTCCCTCTTGCCCTAGAAATATGGCCAAATTTCTTTTATTAAAAAAATAAAAATAATCATCCCTTGACCTTGAGTCCTCCAAAGCATCTGTTCTTCCCCATCTAAGATACCTTCTTCAAAGAGTAGTCAACAGATATCTCTGTCTCCTTTTTAGTCATTTCTTAACCTGCTGCAGTATCTTTTTTGTTCCCAGTATTTCATTGAAACTACTCTAGCAAAAGTTGTTGTTGTTGTTGTGTGCCATCAAGTCAGACCCGACTCATGGCGACCCCTCCTTGGATTTCCAAGGCAGTGTCACTACGGAAGTAGATTGCCCCATCTTCCTTCCAAGGAGTGGCTGGTGGGTTTGAGCCGCCAGCCTTCTGGTTAGCAGTCAAGTGCCTTAGGCACTATGCTACCAGGGCTCCTAGCAAAAGTTAGGATTGTCTTATTTGTAAAATGCAATGACCTCATCTTAGCCTTACTTCAACTTCTCTAGCATTTGGTCATGTGGTCAGAAGGGACCATTCCCTGGAGAAGGATATCATGCTTGGTAAAGTGGAGGGGCAAAGATAAAGAGGAAGACCCTCAATGAGATGGCTGCAGTGGCTGCAGCGATGGGCTCAAGTGTAGCAAGAATTGTAAGGATGGCACAGGACAGGGCAATGTTTCGTTCTATTGTACACAGGGTCACTATGAGTTGGAATCAACTCAACAGCACCTAACAATAACAACAGCATTTTATATCATAGTTTGTTAGTTTTTTTCTTTAAGTTCTCTACTACCTCAGTCTAGAAATATTGCACTTTTCTGGCTCTTTCCTATCTCTAACCATTCTTTCTCTTTTTCTTTTATAAGCATCTCCCACTCTGCCCACCTCTTCACTTCCTAAGGGTGCCCTTGGCCCACTGATCTTTTCACATGATATTGAGTCCCAGAGATCTCCTGCATTCATATGGTTTATTAAAAGATTCCCATTCTGACCTCTCCCCAGTTTCATGTTTGGCTATCCAGCTACTGGCTGGCCAACTACAAATTGTCAGTCACCTTTTCAGAATGGTACTTATCTTTCGCCTCCATCCTAATCCCTACCACCTTTTCTTCCTGTCTTCTATCAGTCATCAACATCATTAATAACTCAGCCTTACAAGGCAAAATCCTGGAAGTCATCTTATACTCCTCCTAAACCCTTATCCCTATTATCCAGTCACTAAGTCATGTATTTTTTTTTTCCTGTAAATAATTTTCAAAACCACCTCCTTCCCTTGCCTGCTACCATGTCCTTGTTTAAGACATTGTTGTGTCTTGCTAGGGAGCTCTGGTGGTGTAGTGCCTAAGGCATTTGACTGCTAACCAGAAGGCTGGTGGTTCAAACCCACCAGCCACTCCTCAGAAGGAAGATTGGGCAATCTACTTCCATAGAGATACTGCCTCGGAAACCCAAGGAGGGGTTGCTATGAGTCAGATCGACTCGATGGCAGTGAGTTTGGTTTTTTTGGCTTATGTCTTGCTAGATCATTATAGTACAGAATATGTCTTCCTTTGTTGGACCCTGGGTTCCTTAAGAGCCCAGTCATATATTTTCATCTTTTTCCCTTCATTACATAGCATAGTGCTTGATAAATAGGAGACACTCAGCAAATATTTATGTGAACTGAAATTGTTTTCTAAAACACATAAACTATGTATAGCCTAATAGTGTATTTGCTCTGTCAGATAAGTTTTAGTTCTAGCCTCTAAAATAAGAAATTTAAAGGGAAGAGAGGAAAAAGTAAAAAATATGTGTAGATTTTTCACAGTGGCCCAGGTAAAATGCCAGATGATGCAGTTAACATCTATTATATAATGTAATCTCTGGAATTTATAAGGCAGTGGTCCCCATTTTTATTGATGAAGTTAAGTTTAACTTGCCCTGGGCCACACAGCTAGTGAGAAGCAGAGCTCAAATGCAACCCCAAGTCTTTCTTCTACAGTACCATATTTTCACTGCATCCTACTGGTTACTTAAAAAAATTCCATGTTTAATCTCTTCGAGTTCATCTACCAATTGTAGGAACTTGACAGTAACTTTTCAGTCACTGTTCTTGAATATAGTTAATTTTTTGGCCTTTGAGAACAGGGAAGTGAAATAAATTATCCCTTAGTTTGCATTGTAACCAAGAAAATGAGTGTTCTTGAAACTTTTTATATCAGGAATTACCATTGTGGGCATAATGGGGAAAATGTATGCTTAATACTTTTGTAAACTGAAGGGAGATGATAATTGTTAAAGCAGTTTGAGTTTTGTAAAACTCAGTTGCTTAAAGATGAAAAAGTATATAAATCCACATCATTCAGAAAGTATCTTTAAATCATTCAATACAGGTAGTCCCCAACTTAAGATATATTCAAGTTTCGGCAAAACATGCTTATAACTTTCTGGGATTTTTTTTCTTTTCTTGCATTTTATCATTAGTAAACATACTACAGTGTTGCAGTACATAATTTGCTGATGTTATGATTCTCAGATTTTCAATCACAGATATTCAGTGTTATGATCTATAACCCACAGCCATTGAGTCGGATCCGATTCATAGCGACCCCTCCTTGGGTTTCCGAGGCAGTATCAGTACAGAAGTAGATTTCTCAACCTTACTTTTGAATGATGTATAAAGATATTGATAATAAAAGGCAATAATGATGAAAACTAAAAAAAAAGAAAAAGATACTTTTTTTTACATCAGGAGTGACTTATGACAGAATCATTGAAACAGAACCCTAAGTTGGGGACTACCCATACAGTAAAATTGTCTTTAAAACCAAAAAACCAAACTCACTGCCATCAAGTTGACTCCAACTCATTGTAACCCCTTTTGCTTTCCAAGGCGGTAAATCTTTATGGAAGTAGATTGCCCACTCTTCCTTCCATGGAGTGGCTGGTGGGTTTGAACCCTCAACCTTCTGGCTAAGGGTCAAATGCCTTAAGCACTACACCACCAGAGCTCCTTAAAATTGTCTTTAGGAACTAGATTTTTAGATTATTAAACATGACTGTTATTAAGTGAAACTTACCCATAATTTTTTTATTAATGCTTTATAGCTGGATACCCAGTACGAATACTCTTATTTATTCATGTAGGAATTTTTGGATTTAGAATTTTTGTTCTTCACCTACATGATCTACATCTTATATGTTTCATGTTGTTAAATGCCATTGAGTTGATTCTGACTCATAGCGACCCCATGTGACATGAGTATAACTGCCCTATAGCACTTTCTAGGCTGTAATCTTTATGGGAGTAGATTGCCCAATCCTTCTCCCTCAGAACTGCTGAGTGGCTAGAAACTGCTCACATTTTGGTTAGCAGTCAAGTGTTTCAGTGTTGCACCATCGGGACTCCTTATGTGTTTCATGTGACAGTCCAGTTTATAGTCTTAGTCTTTTTTCTATAGCCTTGTGGTTGTAAATGGGTTTTTGTATATATGTATAGCTGAAGGTATCTTTTCCTTTCTCTTAAACAATAAAACACTTGGCAAGTTAGGAACATTTCTTCTTCTTTTTTAAAATTTATAAATTTATCTAAGACGTTAGATTTTCAAATTGTATGAATTTGTATAAAACATGGGAAATAATTAAACTTCTTTTGACTTACCTCAATTATTCTACTCAGAAACATTCAATATTTTCAATCATTTTATATATGATTTGGGAAAATAATGTGTTTATATTCAGTCTACTGTCAACTAAATCTGTAGCTGCTGATCTATGGCACTGTCATATATCACCTTGAAGTGTCCATTTTCAGTCTTTATTATGGATTTTGTTCTTATAAAGCTTAAAATAAGTACTTAAAATTGTTTTCACTGAGTGGAAGTTTCTTGAAGATAACCTTTTCAGAATTTTTCTACAGACCACTAGCTTTATGCCAAAAAGGATTCTGGTAATAAACATACTGAAAACTTTGTATATAAAAAAGAACCTATTTCACTTATTTTCATCCCGTGTTTTCCAAATATTTTACTACAGATGCCCTTCATGCTCCCCATTCCCTCTAACAACTATCAACATTGCATCTGAGTTAGTGATGTTAATTTAGTTTTGGGATGCTGTTTTTAAGGTTTCTAGAATCTGAGCTACCAGTAACCAGAAACATTACCAATTCCACTTTTTAACTCTTTGGGATTAAAGCAAGACAGGAGGGACAAAAATACATACGTATAACTTGTTAAAATGCTTTTGTTTTAAAAGGAGATTATGCAAAGATTGTTGGAACTTACCAACTTTTAAGTTATTTTAAAACATGGGATAGCTTACATGATATTTGAAAATATTTGTGTACAACCTTTTTATTCCAATTTTATAAATGAATCATGAAAAGTCATAGCCTATCTCTAGATCAATAAATTTAAAACTGTGGGCATAACCTATTAGTAGGTTAAGAAATCAGTTTATTGTGTGCGATTAACATTTTTAAAAAATAAACTAGAACAGAACTTTTTAATAATTAAAATGCATCACAAATAAGTTATATATGTATATATATATTTGGAGTCATTATGTAAAATTTGCTACTAGTCTTTACCTAGTAAAGATAAATTGTGGCCTACACATCTTGCAGTTTATTCCTTGTATTAACAAAGATATTATTGTGGGGGAACTCTGGAAGAAATTCTCAAAAGTATTCTTTTAAAGAGCCTTAAGAAAGACACTTATAAAGTAGTTTAAGTCATCTGGATACCTTTATGAAGTGGCAACTTAAGAAGTAAGATTTTCAGACAGATAAAGATTGATAAGTACCTTTGAAAAATCATTTAAGAACTTAGATAAACTACCCTTTCTGGATGACAACAACAAAAAAAATAAATAAGCCCTATACTAATTAGGGAAAGGAGCCCTGTTAGCATAGTGCCTAAGGCATTTGACTGCTAACCACAAGGCTGGCGGTTCAAACCCACCAGCCACTCCTCGGAAGGAAGGTTGGGCAATCCTACTTCCGTGATACTGCCTTGGAAACCCAAGGAGGGGTCGCTCTGAGGCGGATCTGGCTCGAAGGCACTGAGTTAAAATTTTAGAATTGGGGAAAGTAGTTCATTCTACTTTTATTTTTAATAAAGCTGTATTTGTAGCTAAAATAATTAACATTTCATTACACAGATTTAGCTCATGGAAAAAAAATCTATGCTTCTTATTAAGGGAAATATAATGTATAATTTGTATTTCATTTAGAATAATTTAAATGAAAATCCTTCATTTTTTAATAATAGTTATCAAAAACTAATGTGTATAAATTATTTCTTGAGTGTGCATGATTTGCCTGCAAATTTAGAGATGATTTTATTTCCCAAAACATTAATGAACTATTTTTAGATAATTTAATCAAGTAACAACTCATTATTCAGTCTTCTGGTGAAACTTTTTTGAAAACTGAAATGTTATTGCTTCTGGTGTGGTTTCACAAATGAAAATTAATTTGAGCTGTGAAAAAGAAACTATTAAATGTAAGAATATAATTGTAACTAATGAAATGTATTTAAATAAATTTAGTTCAAGGCAAAGCAAGATAACTTTTTAAAAAACTTGTTTTGGTAAAATACATACAACAAGAAATTTGCCATTTCAACCATTATTATATGTACAATTCCGTGACATTGATTATATTTACCATGTTGTGAAACCATCATTACTATCCATGTCCAATTTTTTTTTTCTTAATTACCCTTAACAGAAACTCAGTGCCCTTTACACAATAACTCTTCATTTCCCCCACACACACACGCTTGCTTCTGGTAACCACTAAGAAACTTTAGTCTCTGTGCATTAAAGCAAGATAACATCTGCCACTTTAAAAATCATTAAACCATATTGTTATAGCATATTTGTTAAATATAAGCTACCTGCTTCATTTAAGGTTACTGTATGTTTGAGTTTAAAAATGTTACCAATTTCTTTAAATGTTTAAATCCTTTATGTTTCTTATTTATTTTTTTAATTTTAGAATGGCTGTCTTCTGTTTATAAACAGCAATGGCTTGCTATGCTTCGAGCAGAGCAAGACAGTGAGGTGGGGTAAGTATGTTATATCATATATTGTTTATTTGAAACAAACCTCCTTATGAATTGAAATACATTTATTACATTTAAAGAAATCAATAACAATATTGAAAATTCAAAAGCTATTGAAGTAGAGAAATGATCTTGTAGTCTACTTAATCTTACATTTTTGTAACATTATCAATCATATAAATGATCATGTAATCAACTTTTAAACTTATATTTTTATAACATCAATCTTAAAAATATTTACCTTTGGATCAGTTAGATAATATAATGGAATGTTTGGATTGTCATTTATAAAAATGACTAATTCATACACTTTTTAACCTAAGGTTATGATTTTCTTTCAACATACTTAAATATTACTTGGAATATTACTTTTATAAATCATGATTTTCATATTTATGTGAAGGTAAAGCTAATTTTCTTATTTGTGATCATCTCAAATTCTATGTAATGTAATAAATAGCGTTTGAAGATCTTTGAGTCTAAAATGAAATAAAACATCTGGTTACAGATGCCTTCCCCAAAAGTATATTAAAACCAAACCAAACTCACTGCTACCATGTTGATTCCAACTCATAGCGACCCTATATGACAGAGTAGAACTGCCCTATGGGGTTTCCAATGCTGAAAATCTTTACAGAAGCAGACTGCGGTGTCATTCTCCCACAAAGTGGCTGGTAGGTTTGATCCACCGACTTTTTGGTTATCAGCTGAGCACTTAACCAGTATATCACTAGGACTTCTCAGAAGCATTTGACCCCATATATACTTTCTTCATTTTAAGGGAAAGAAAACTATCTTGTCATTCAGTGTATAGTACTTTGCGGTTTATAGAAGTATTTCTGCATTTATTTGATCCTTATAATAGCTCCTTGAAATAGGCAGAGTAAAGAGACAAATCCATGTGTGAATATAAGGAAGAACCTGTAAGAAGTTTAATTTTTTTCCCTCACTCTCTTTCATCACATTTTTATTCACCAAAGTACTTCCAAAAATAATGGTTTAGTTATAAGTTTATATCCAAACAGTGAGTGTATAAAAGTGCTACATAAATTCATGATGATTATGAAATTATTATTAGTTCCTACTTTATTTATAATTTATATCCCATCTTTTTCCAAAAAGAGTTTGTAGCATAGTGATCCAGCACAAATATAGTAAGAATATTAAAATGGAAATAATAAATCAAAAACCAAAAATAGCTATTTAATGGCATTCAGACTTGAAGCATTTTATAATGTATGAAATATTTTATAAATCATCCTACTAATATACCTCTTTTTATAATCAGTGTTCTAATGTTCCTTGTTCTGTATTATTCAAGATTTTTTCATCTATAAAGGTTAATATCCTTTTGAGGTTAATAAGAGAGAGAGCTAGAATTAAGCTTCTGGTTTTCTTGCCTTCAGAAGTATGTGATTATATTGCCCTTGATGAAATGCTCTGCTCCACAAATACAGGGCACTGTTTGCTCACTGCTACAGGGCTGCTAAAGTGAGGAAGATAGCCTTTTCCTTTGATACCAGCTTATAATTTTATACTGTCCCTCTCTTTCAGGCTTCTCCACATTACCAACAAGGTTAATTTCATAAAACAAATAAAGGTGTCATCTCTCTGCATAAATACATCCAGGGATATTTCATGATAACTAAAATTACTACTATTTTTAGGTGGGATATATATGGTGATACATTTTTTAAAAGTCTGTATCTTCTAGAAATAGATTCTGAACTATTTATAGATTGAAAGAAATGATATCCGGGATTCACCTCAAAATAATCAGCAAGGGAGAGAGGTGAGGGGAGTAAAACCAAAAAAGATTATTAAAGCTAGATAGTGAGAAAATTTGGCTCATAATATCCTACTTCTATATGTATGGAAATTTTCATAATGAAAAAGTAACAGAACAAATGTCTGGCATTATTGTATTACCATGGCCTGCAGGCCCCTTCAACAGTCTGTCCCCAAAAGCCTTTAACTTCATCTCCCATCATGCTCATCTTATGCTCCAGCTGCACATTAGTACATATGATATTCTTGTATGCTTCAGTCCTTTTTAGCCACTATTCCTTCTGCCTGGAATACTGTTCCCCTTGCCTAGAATTCACCTGCACCCCCACTCATACTCAAGTGTATTTCCTCTGTGATGATCCCTCTGTAATGCCAGGCAGTAACTGTGTCTCTTCTTTGTATCCTTAATATCACAACCCTGTCCGTATTATTATAATCATTATTTATGTCTCGTTCCCTCTTAGACTGAGCTCTTGGAAGTCAAGGACATGATTTTATTAGTTTTATTTGCATTTATTTTTTGTGTGTGCTTGTTTCATTAGCAGTTACTAAATGCTGTAAATGAATGAGTATATGAATAAATGCATTGTATTATTTACAGATTTGTAATTACCAAGCTGGTAGTGTCATTTTAGGAGCTCTGGTAGCATAGTGGCTAAAGCATTTGACTGCTAACCAGAAGGCTGGCGGTTCAAATCCACCAGCCACTCCTCGGAAGGAAGGTTGGGCATTCCTACTTCCGTAGTGATACTGCCTCGGAAACCCAAGGAGAGGTCGCTATGAGTCGGGGCCGACTCGATGGCACATAACAACAACAACAACAAGTGTCATTTTATTATTGCAACTTGAAATAACTGTATCTCTTAGTTGGTTAAGGTTTTTAAGATAGCGGGCCAAATAAAGAGTAATTGATGAAAATCTACAGCTCTTTTTTTTTGTTAAATATTGATTTCATGTAGTTATACTACATGAAAAATGGTTTACATGTAAAACAATCACCAAGTCACACCTTATGGAAATAATAGGTTTTCATTTATTATACTCAGTAATTATACTCTTAATTGTTTTATTTTGCTGGTGAGCAGCCTTTCTTGTGGATTTTTTTTTCTCCTTTTCTGTAGTTTGACTGAGCCCTATTAAAAGTATTCTAGAAATTGGTGCAATAGGTCAAACATTGAAGACTTCAAATCTTTTTTTTTTTATTTAGCAAAGGTAGTAAACACTCTTATTTTTATCTACACCAAAAATGTTTTAAAATTATTTTTAGATCTAGTAATAAGTTCTTCTGTTCTTTTTAACTCAATTATTGATTGCCTAATTGTCCATGAAACTTCATATCTTTATATGCTTTTAGGCCTCAAGAAATCAATAAAGAAGAACTAGAGGGATATAGCATGAGGTGTGGAAGAAAGCTTGCCAAAGACGGTGAAGTAAGTATGGGTTGTGACTTTTGATATTCTCATACAAATTGTTATGTTATCTGTACATAATATGCTTTCAGTAACCGTCATGGCACCTGTCACACCTTAGAAGAGCTTGCTGACAGTTTCTGCATCATGATCTGTGCAGAGTTACAGCCACCACTCTCTCTTCTCAGTAGTGACTGACTGATTATTCAGTCTTAATTGTTGGACTTAAATTTTGGGTCTAGATAAGAGATACGAGGAGAGTGTCTCTCAGAGATCCAGAAATGAAGGTAAAGAAGTTCATGAGAACCGTCATGTAGTTTTTAGAGTGATTCTATTTTACAGTTATGCTAAATCAAAGGCATTCAATCCTATTGTTTGGTAGCTACAGTAAGAATTGCATTTTTCATTACCACCTTATACAAATGAAATGAAAGTGTTATGAAATAATATTTAGCCCTGCTGTGTCCAAAGATGCTATTTTCTAAAAAGCTGATACCAGAACCAAACTCACTGCCATCGAGTCGATTTTGACTCATAGCAACCCCCTCTGGGTTTCCAAGGCGGTAAATCTTTATGGAAGTAGATTGCCCAGTCTTCCTTCTGCAGAGTGGTTGGTGGGTTTGAACCACCAGTCTTCTGGCTAGCAGTCAAATCCCTTAGGCATCACGCCACCAAAGCTCCAAAACGCTGATAGTGACCCAGTAAATTGATTTTACTACCCAGTAATGGGACATGACCTACATTTTAAGAAATTCTACCCTAAGTAATCATAATTTTCATCTTAAAAACAAATTTAAATAACCATTTGGTTATCCCTCTCCCTCATTTTTCCTTCATTTATTTTATTTTTTATTATGAATTGGGTGAAAGTTTACAGAGCAAATTCATTTTCCATACAACAGTTCATATTCATTTTGTCTCATGACATTGATTGCAGTCCCCACAATGTAACAGCCCTCTTCCTACTTCCTCCCTGTGGTTACCTTTTCCCTGTGTCCTTCTTCCCCATGCATTCCTGACCTCTGAGCTATCTCCCTGTGCAAATACTGCCCTTCTGATCCCACATGGTTGATTGTTCCAAGGAACATACCTATCTAGTGTAAATGTTCACCCTATATGTCTGCCTGTTGTTTGGCTGGAAGCCATGGGAGTGAGTTCAATTCCAGGCCCAAAAGATGAGCAGGGTCCATAGTCTTGGGGCTTTTACCAGTCTCTATCAGACCAGTAAGACTGGGGTTTTTTGTGGGGTTTTTTTTTTTTTTTTATGATTTTGAATTTTGTTCCACAGTTTTCTTCCACTCTATCCAGGATCTCCTACAGTGATCCCTTTCTGAGTAGTTGACATGGTAGCCAGGCACTATCTAGTTCTTCAGGTCTCAGGGTCATGTAAGCTGAGGTTTGCGAGGTCCACTAGTTCCCTTGGACTACTTGTTTCCATGCATCTTTGGTTTTCTTCATTCTTCTTTGTTCCAGATGAAGAGAAACCAGTTGTTGCATCTTAGATGTCCTCTTGCAAGTTTTTAAGACCCCAGCCACTACTCACCAAAGTAGGATGTGGAACACTGTTTTTGTGTAGTATGCATTTTAACTTTAATTTTAAAAATTATGTGTGCATTCATAATTTTGACAAATGCTCCAAGTATGAAAGTAGAGTCAATGTTTTCTTTGTCCCTTACTTCTCCTTGTTGTTTCTCAGCCTTGTTCCTTCCTCATCCTTAACTGAACACACACCAAAAGATCAATCACACCTTCTTGTGCCCATTTTTCACTGGGCTCACTGTTGTTCTTTATCACTACTGTTACTGTGTCTTGGTGATTTCAGTATCTCAGGTCCTTGACGTCTTGCCCCCAGTGATCTTATTCTATACCCTACCTCCAGCACTCATTCCTTTGAGCAAATCTTCCATTTTTGTGTTACTAATTACTACACCCCCTTCAAAATCTCCATTTCAAGCATTCTATTCTCAGATTCCACCTCTTATTATCTTGCCAGTTTTCTCCTTGTAGTACTTGGACTCCAACATTTTTTTTTTCTTTTAACCTCACTGGGACATAGGCATAGTGCCTAAGACATTTGACTGCTAACCAGAAGGCTGGAAGTTCAAACCTACCAACCACTCCTGAGAAGGAAGGTTGGACAATCTACTTTCGTAGTGATACCACCTCGGAAGCCCAAGGAGTGGTCGCTATGAGTCGGATCCAACTACATGGCAGTGAGTTTGGTTTGGTTTTTTTGGGACATACAGTACATTGTTCTTACTCCCTTACTCCTATCTATCCCCTCTCGTGACATCCCTGCTTCTTTCTTTCCATTGATTAGATTAAATTAGGCCATTGCTAATACCCGTAACTTTCCTTTTCCCTCTTGCACTCTATCAAACTCAAGACCTGCCTGAAATCTGAGCCTTTCATGCTCTCCATGCTTGCATCTAAAAGAAAAACACCATATACCAATGGGTTTCTTTTGAATGTTGTAATTGTAAATTTCAATCAGGTCTTTAGTACTACATTGTGATCCTCCTATGTTTCCATGGTACATTTATCTTCCCAGTATCTGAGGTGACTCTCACATCTTCTTTCCTCTAAAGGCCAATACTTGTACCCTTATTCTAGGAGCTCTGGTGTTACTGTGGTTAAAGCATTTGGCTGCTACCCAGACAGTCAGCAGTTGGAACCCACTAGTCACTGCTTGGAAGAAAGATGTGGCAGTCTGCTTCCATAATGATCTACAGCCCTGGAAATAGTATGGGGCAGTTCTGTTCTGTCTTATAGGGAGACTGTAAGTCAGGCTGGAGTAAACAACAATGAGTTTTAGTCTTACTTGGTGGCCTTGCTTCATTAGGAAAATAAAAGCAATAGGAAAGAGAATTTGCACATCCTCTTACCAGCAGTTCTACTGATCTACCTGCATCTATGCCCCATGTACGGTGCTTTTCCTAGTGATAGAATTAACAAACTCTCTGCTTCTATCTTAGTCCATCTGCTCCTCTTATACTGGACCCCATCCTGTCCTATTCAAAAGCTTTGCTCCAACAGTTAATCCTTCCCTTTCCTCCATCAATTTTTCTCTTCTAGTGGGTAATTCTCATTTCATTTATAATATGCTGCAGCATGAGGGAGGCTGGGAAGGAAACGAGGTGGCAGGGCGGGTTTGGAGCAGCTGAGCGAGGCTGGGAAGGAAGCGAGGCAGGGCAGTGGGTTTGGAGTGGCTGAGGGAGACCAGGAAGTGAGCAGAGTGGTTTGGAACAAATAATGGAGATGAACTTGTATGTCAGTTTGTCGTACTGTGATGGTTGCTAAGACAGACTTAGAAGAAGGAGGAGGCCATCCACTTCTCAAAGTGAAAAGCTTATGAATAGCAGTAAAATACTGTCTGATACATTATTGGCAAACATTATGAATAGCCCCAAAAACACTGTCCGATATAGTGCTGGAAAATGAGCCCCTCAGGTTGGAAGACACTCAAAATATGACTGGGGAAGAGCTGTCTCTCTCCTCAAGGTAGAGCTGACCTTGATGTGGATTGAGTAGAGCTTTCAGGACCTCCATTTGCTGATGTGGCCCACCTCAAGATGAGAAGAAACAGCTGCAAATATTCATTTATAATTGGAACATGGAATGTATAAAGCATGAATCTAGGAAAACTAGAAGTTGTCAGTAATGAAATGGAACATAGAAAATCTATATTGTGTGGATCATCACTAAGGCATAAGTGAGCTGAAATGGACTGGTTTTGGCCATTTTGAGTCAGACAGTCATATGATCTACTATGATGGGAATGAAACTTGAAGAGGAATGGTGTGGCATTCATCATCACAAAGAATGCATCAAGATCTATCCTGAAGTACAGTGTTGTTGGTGATGGGATAATATCCATATGCCCACAAGGAAGACCAGTTATTACTACTAATGTTCAGATTTACATACCAACCATCAAAGCCAAAGATGAAGAAACTGAAAATTTTTACCAACTTCTGCAATCTGATATTGACCAAACATGCAATCAAGATGTGTTATCACTGGTGATAAGAATGCAGAAGTTGGAAATGAAGAATCACCAGTAGTTGGAAAATATGGCCTTGGTGATAGAAATAATGCTGGAGACTGCATGATAGAATTTTGCAAGACCAACGACTTTTTCATTGCAAATACCTATTTTTCAACAACACAAATGATGGCTATATATGTGGACTTCAACATATGGAGTACACAGGAATCAGATTGACTACATCTGTGACAGGAGGCAATGGAGAAGCTCAATATTTTTAGCCAAAACAAGGCCAGGATCCGATTGTGGAACAGACCATCAGTTGCTCATATGCAAGTTCAAGTTGAAGCTGAAGACAATTAAAACAAAACAAGTCCACAAGAGCCAAAATATGACCTTGATTATATCTTTCCTGAATTGGAGACCATCTAACAAATAGATTTGATGCATTGAACACCAGTGACCAAAAACTAGAAGAATTGTGGGATGACATCAAGAACATCATCCATGAAGAAAGCAAAAATCATTAAAAAGATAGGAAAGGAAGAAAAGACCAAAATGAATATCAGAAGAGACTCTGAAACTTGCCCTTGAATGGAGAGTAGCTAAAGCAAATGGAAGGATCAACAAGATAAAAAGATTCTGAAGAGCAGTTCAAGAAGATGAAGTCAGTTATTATAATGAAATGTGCAAAGACCTGGAGTTAGAATACTAAAAGGGAAAAACATGCTCAGCATTTCTCAAGCTAAAAGAACTGAAGAGGAAATTTAAGCCATGAGTTGTGATACTGAAAGATTCTATGGGCAATGTGTTGAATGATGCAGGAAACATCAAAAGAAAATGGAAGGAATACACAGAGTCACTGTATCAAAAAGAACTGGTTGATCTTCATCCATTTCAGGAGGTGGCATGTGATCAAGAACCAGTGGTATTGAAGGAAGAAGTCCAAGCTGCACTGAAGGAATTGGCAAAGGACAAGGCTCCAGGAATTGATGGAATACCCTTTGAGATGTTTCAACAAACAGATGCCCCACTGGAGGCATTCACTCGGTTTTGCCAAGAGATTTGGAACACAGCTACCTGGCCAACTGACTGGAAGAGATCCATATTTGTATCCATTCCAAAGAAAAGTGATCCGGAAATTATCAAACAGTATCACTAATAATCACGCACAAGTAAAATCTTACTGAAGATAATTAAAAAATGGTTGCAGCAGTTTATTGACAGAGAACTTCCAGAAATGCAAGCTGAATTCAGAAAGGGACATGAAACAAGGAATATCATTGCAGATGTCAGATGGATCTTGGCTTAAAGCAAAGAATACCAGTAAGATGTTTACTTGTTTTTATTAACTATGCAAAAGCATTTGATTGTGTGGATCATAACAAATTATGGATAACATTGAGCAGAATGGGAATTCCAGAACACTTAATTGTACTTGTGAGGAAACTGATACATAGACCAGGAGTCTGTCATTAGAACAGAACAAGAGGATACTGCATGGTTTAAAATCAGGCAAGGAGTGTGTCAGGGTTGTATCCTTTCACCATACTTATTCAATCTGTATGCTGAGCAAATAATCCAAAAAGCTAGACTGTATGAAGAAGAATGTGGGATCAGGATTGGAAGAAGACTCAATAACAATCTGCAATACTCAGATGGCACAACTTTGCTTGCTCAAAGTGAGGATGACTTGAAGCACTTACTGATAAAGACTGAAGACTACAGTCTGCAGTATAGGTTATACCTCAGTATAAAGAAAACAAAAATGCTCACAACTGCACCAATAAGCAGCATCACAATAAATGGAGAAAAGACTGAAGTTGTCAAAGATGTCATAATTACTTGGTTCTACAATCACACCAACAGAAGCAGTAATCCAGACATTAGACAACATATTGCATTGGGCAAATCTGCTGCAAAAGACCTGTTCCAAGTGCTGAAGAGCAAAGATGTCTCTCTGAAGTCTAAGGTGGCTAACCCAAGCCATGGTATTTTCAATTGCCCCATATGCATGTGAAACTGGACAAAGAATAAGGAAGACTGAAGAAGAGATGATGCTTTTGAGTTGTGGTGTTGGTGAAGAATACTGAAAGTACCATGGACTGCTAAGAGAACTAACAAATCTGTCCTGGAATAAGTACAGCCAGAATGCTCCTTGGAAGTGAGAATGAATGCCCAGACTTTGTCTCACCTACTTTGGTCATGTTGTCAGAAGGAACCATTCTCTGGAGAAGCATATGCTTGGTAAAGTGGACGGTCAATGAAAAAGGAGAAGGGCCTCAACAAGATGGATTGACACAGTGGCTGCAACCATGGGCTCAGGTATAGTAAGGATTGTGAGGCTGGCACAGGACCAGACAGTGTTTCGTTCTGTTGTACATAAGGTTGCTATGAGTCAGAAACGACTTGACAGCACCTAACAACAACAACATGCTGCCACATCACCCACCTTAAACCATATCTTGACCTTACATCATAGTCTAGCTACCACTCCATTTTTCTACCCCTTTTAAGCAAAACTAGTTGAAAACAGTTGTATTTGCCTATACTTCCTCATTTCTGGTACTTTCTTTCTGATGCTCCCTTATACCACTCTATATCAGTGTCACTGGTGATCTCCATATTCCCAAATCATGTCATCAGTTTTCCATCATCTGGAAATTCTTGGCAGTACCAACACATTTGTTCACTCAACTCCTTCTTAAGAGATTTCCTCTACTTGACTTTCAGGACAGCATGATTTGCTGGGTTTTTTTTTTTTTTTTCCTATTTCATTAGCTGCTCCCCCTCAGTTTTTGCTAGATCCAGCTTATCTTTCTCAACAAATGTGATTATGAACTTGGTTCTTGGACTCCTCCCTTATCTCTGCATACTTGACCATGTCATCTAGTCTCATGGCTTTACAGAGCATCAGTACACAGATAACTCCTGCATTTATATCTGCACTCCTGACTCCTCTTCTGAGCTTCAGATTCGTATATGCTGCTGCTCATTTGGCATCTTTATTGGGATACCTAATTTAAAAAAAAAATTGCTGTTGAGTCAGTTCTGACACAGGCCCCTCAAATTTATCAGTCCCAAGTTGAACTCTTGATTTTTAATCCCCAAACCACTTCTTTTCCAAGTATTCTTAAACCCATAAATTATTTCTCTGTTGCTGTTGTTCATCCATTGCATAGGCTCCAAACTTTGCATTCATTTTGTACTCTTCTTTCTTTCATACCTCTCATCCATAAGAAATTCCTCAAAGCTCTACCTTTGAAATACATTCTTAGCATTTCTATCCCTGTGACCCCAGTCCACGCTACCATTATGTCTTGCCTGGGCCATTGCAATGGTTGCTTCCTAACTGTTCTCTCTTGTCACTTCTTGCCCCTCTGCACTCCATTTTCCACACATCAGCCAATGTGATCCTTTTAAAATGCAAGTTGGATTTTCTCATTTCCTTCCCTAAGACCTTCTATTAGCTTCCTACCATTCTTAGAATAAAATCCAAGCTCTGCCTTACCATGGACTGTGGGGCCCTACATTATCTGTCCCCCAACTTCTGTGAACTCATTTCTAGCTTCTGTCTTCCTTAGTCCTTGCCCCAGCCACGTAACCTATCTTGCTGTTCCTTAGATATGCCAGGCATGTTTTTACCTATGCCACTTTGTACTTGCTGTTCTCTCTGTCAAGGACACTCTTTCCTTAGATACTCACCTGGTCTGCTTCTTCAGTTAACTTATGTCCCTACTCAGACCATCTCCTCAGAGAGACCTTCCCTGATTACTTACCTAAACCAGCAGCCTCCACAATTGCAAGTCTACCCCCTCTGTCCTGTTGCTTTCTCCTGACATTCTGTTCTATCCTATTCCATCCCATTTCAAGTATATCTGTTATTCATCTCCTCTCCTAGCACAAAACATAAAAACATAAGAATATAAACTCTGTGGGGGCACAAACTTTATTTCCTGCTGTCTCCAGTGTCTACAGCAGTGTCACACACATAATGTGTGCTCAATCAGTATTAAATATTGAATTAATACTAAATACTGAATTTATATTGCAATTCAGGGTATCAACCAGTTGTAGTCCTAACTTTACTTTACTGTACCTTTTTACCTAATAATCACTCAGTAACTATTAGGTGATAGAATAAACAAACTTGTAAACATTATGGTAGTATTTAAAATAACCCAGTTGTGTGTCTGTTGATTATTTAAGGTATTTTAGAATATTTTTAAGGCAAGGTGGATTTTAATGGGTTCTTATCACCTCCATCTAGACTCCTCCTCCCCTAAGCTGTACTCCCTATGCAGTGAACAGTCGTATTCATTTATTATGGAATTACAAAGTGGGGAGACACTGAAACAGATCATGAAAAGATGATGCTGGGAAAGAGCTTAAGAAATAATGATCATAAAGGCTGCTTTTCTGGCTTTGGTATATAATTCTGTGTGATAAGCCTTAAGTGAGAGGCACTGACAAGAAGTAGGGGACCCATCAGAGAAATATTTGGAATGAATTAGAGAAAAAACAAAGACATTTCAATGAACTTTGTATGTTTGACTTGCTAATAACCTGAAATAACATTGTTTGTTTTTTCTTTTTTTTTTCCTTCTTTCGTATTTCTTAGTACTGCTGGCGGTGGACAGGTTTTAACTTCGGCTTTGACCTGCTTGTAACATACACCAATCGATACATCATTTTCAAACGCAATACACTTAATCAGCCATGTAGTGGATCTGTCAGTTTACAACCTCGACGGAGCATAGCATTTAGGTAGGATGAGATTTTCCCCACCCAACTCTTCTCACTCCAGAGGAAATAAAATAAAACAAAGTCTTGATAATTTATATCAACACTAATAGAACTTTGGTAAGATACCATGTATGTGAAAGTGCTAGGAAATATTAAGGTTCTATTCATATGAAATGTATTACTAATCAAAGCCATAAGATCCAGTATTTCAGGGCAAAAGAATTGGCTGGGATATGAATGATACAAGATTGATTTTATGCTTGAAGGTGTCACCTCTGGCTATTTCTAGCAAATAAAAAGTCCAAACTAGAAATGTAGCAAGGTATTTCTCTGTGGTATTTGATGTGCCCAACTTGGCTTGATAGTTCAGCTAGCAGTCTTTTTTTTTGGAGAGGATACTATCAACTGATAAACTGCAAGACAATTTAATGAACCAGTTATTTAACCCAGTTACCACTGTGTCAATTCCTGCTCTCAGCGACCCCATATGTATCAGAGTAGAACTGTGCTCCATAGGATTTTCAATGGCTGATTTTTTGGAAGTAGTCACCAAGTCGTTCTTTCAGGGCACCTCTGTATGGACGGAAATCTCCAACCTTTCAGTTAACAGCCAGGTATATTAACTGCTTGCACTTCCCAGGGACTCCACAGATTATTTAAAAGTCAAATATTGGTAAATTATTTTCATATCTGAATAGAATCAGTTTATAGTTTTAAAAGACTATTTAAAGTCTTACAGAAGAAATCTAGATGATAAAAAGTAAATATTAAAGGGAGAGAAAGCTTATTTAAATTAATCTGTGGTTAAAAAATCATGAGGTTATTTTTTCACTTTTTTTTTTTTTAATCCTAGATTACGTTTGGCCTCTTTTGATAGTAGTGGAAAACTCATATGTAGTCGAACAACTGGGTATCAAATACTTACACTTGAAAAGGATCAGGTACGTTTGATTACTCTTCTGTTAATTGTTCCACTGTATTATTTGTCTTTTGAATCCTTTTTTGAAAATTCTTAAGTAGCATTAACATTGACATTTTAATTTAAAGGTTGGTTTGAAAAATTTTTGAAGATAATGATTAAAATACCATATTCACTTCTGCATAACTTACCACATCTTACTAGCAACTGACTAGGACAAACAAGAAAACACAGTTTGATTTGAGAGGCAGAGAAAAGCTGATTAATAGGAAAATAATTGTGTATCTTGAATATCATCTTTAATAAATTATAATCTTAATTGTTTTATACATAGTGCATATAAGTGCATTCATTTATACATTTGCAGCAGTCACCAGGAAGGCAATCCAGTACATCTCCATACCTTCTGAATGTTAAGATAACTTTAGCAAAATAGGTTTATAAAATGACCAATATCTGTAAGCTTCCCAAAATTACCTCTTGAAACCATTTGTTTCTTCATATATCATAAACATGTAGAAGTTTCAGTATATCATGATGAGACAGTAACCATCTTCAAAAAGTAAAGTGAGATCTGTTAAAATATTAAAGAAGTTTGTTTCTGTTGAACTAACCACCATATGAAAGGGCATGTGGTTTCAATAAGAGGTTCAGTGCCCTTGTTGTTGTCTTCAGCTGCCATTGAGTCAGCCCCCAACTCATAGCAGCATCCCTATCCACAACAGAACAGAACACTGCCAGGTCCTGCACTATTCCCATGATCACTTGCAGACTAAACTGTTGTGATCCATAGAGTTTTCACTGGCAGGTTTTCAGTAGGTTGTCAGGTCTTTCTTCCATCTCTGTCTTCATCTGGAAGCTCTGCTAAAACCTATTTAGCATCATAGCAACATGTAAGCCTCCACTAACAAAACAGGCAGTGGGTGTGTGGGTGTGCAGGAGGGAATTAAACCTAGGTCTCCCACATGGAAAGTGAGAATTCTGCCACTGAACCAACATAAGTTATTAGAGGAAGTTAGCAAGTTTTCCTTAGTCTGATAAGACTAAATATAGCTATCATAATTGATCATAATATTATCATAATTTATCATTATGAGGAATGTTAGAAGTGATATGCTCTAATCTCACACACCCTGTGTGAGAACTCCTTTTGCAGCATTCCTACAGAGGGTTCTTCAACCGCTGCTGGAGCGCTTTAATGACAGAGAGCTTATTCCCTTATGTGGTAGGTAGTGTATGAGAATGCCTATTTGAAGGCAAAGATGGAGAGTCAAAGCCAAATTGCAAGAGTGAAAGCATAGATGGCCCAGAAAGAAAGGAAGGAATAAGTGGTAACCAGTTGCTGAGTTTGAACTTAAATTGCAGATTTCCAGTAGGGAGTTAGATTTATCGATCATGGGATTTGTATCTATAAGATAGAATTTTAAAAATAACAGAAGTATAGTATAGAGTATATGGCAGGAGCCTCAGAGAAGCAGAGATCTATATATAAAGTAACAATCTGGAGGTAAAAAAAAAAAAAAATGGGGGCCTGGGACAATTCTGCTGCTCTTTCTGTGCTGGTACATATGGGCTACCTAGCTTCCACTTCATTGTGAAATAAGAAAAGTGAAACTGCTGTAAAGATGATTCATTGCATCAGATGGGGGTCGGGGAACAGGAATACACTCCAGACCAATGATAGATTCAGCCGAGGATAATCTTGCACAGATACTAGTGATACAGAATAACCACAATCATTATAGAAGCAACAGAAGACAGACATGGAGCAATCCCTCAGAGACAGCCAAACACCTTGGGAGAGAGAACCACCGGGTCTGCCAACTCAGGACCATAGTATCGAGGGACACCAGGCTTAATTAGCACAACATAATACATAAAAATCTTGTTCTACAACCTACTTTGGTCAGTAGTGACTAGGGTCTTAAAAGCTTTTGAGCAGCCATCTAAGATGCAGCTGATGGTCTCCTATCATCTGAAGTGAAGAGTGAAGAAAACCAGGGGCCTTTGGAAACAATCAGCCCTAGGATATGATGGACCTCGAGACCACAAGAACTAGATGGTGCCCGCTACCAATGGCAGCCACCTGGGAAGGGATCAAAACTGGAGGTCCTGGATAGAGTGGGAGGAAAAAGGTGAAACAAAATTCAAAAACACTATAACAACCAGAATTACTGGTCAGATGCAGTCTGGTGGGACCCCCAAGACTATGGCCTGGGATACACTTTGAGCCTGGGATAGGACTCACTCCCAAGGACTGGCTCTCAGCCCAACAGTAGAAAGACTTACATGTAGAACACCCAACCCAGGGCGATACACCCACCTACTCTACAGAGAAACACCCCTTGGAGCAATCAGCCATGGGGCACCAGAGGGGCAGCATTCACATGGAAGAAAAGCTGGACAGACAGGAGTCTGTCTTAACTAAGGCACAGGGATGTGGGGGGGTCACAGGGAAGGGAGAGTTAGGTTGTGGGTTAGGGTTGGGGATGGTAATCAGGGAGTGAAACTACATGTACATGAACTGTTAAATGTAAAACAAATTCTGCTCTGTAAATTTGCATCCAAATTTTAAAGCACAATTTAAAAAAAATTAAACATTTAAAAGTTTTAAAAAAAATGATTCGGTGCAAATGTAGATGTAAATTGAGCCCTCAGGTGAAGTAAGAGGTTTAATGAAGCTAGAATTAGATCTGTCTAATTTGGGGATGGAGAGTGGGAGTAATACAATTTAATATTTCAGAAATTGGTGTGTCCATTCAGCCCCAAGCGATATCCACATGGCTCCCTTCTTTCTTCAGAAAAAAGAAGTCACTCTCCCTCATCTCAATCTTAACAATACTCAAATACCACTGTCTCTTACTAATCTTCCTATGAGTCTGATTTTTGTCATGGTACTCACTCTTTATTTATTTTTTTAATTGCGATTTGGGTGAAAGTTTATAGAGCAAATTCACTTTCCACATAGCAGTTCACATACACTTTGTCTCATGACATTGACTACAATTTACCCCAATGCAACAGCTCCCCTCCCACTTCTCCCGATAGTTACCTCTTCCCTGTGTCCATCCTTCCATGCACTCCTGCCCCCTGAGCTGTCTCCCTATGCATACACAGCCCTTCTTTCTCCCATGATTGTTCTCTCCAAGGTTTGTACTGACTCTTGATTTTTATCCTAAGATACACATATCATCATATTACTTGTCCTCAATAGATTTAGTAAATCTGTCTTCTTCTAGGTTATTGATACATGACTAGCCCAGAGTGACCCAAGCTTCTAAAGACCAATTATGCTTCCACATCACTCACTAGCAATAGCACTGTCAACTTAGGTGTTCACTAGAGTGTTTTTTCTTTCTTTTTTTTTTTTAAAAAAAACCACTACTTTCCATGTTTGGGGTTATATAGATTATGTAGAAGTTGTATAAAGACGTTGTAGAGATACAGACAATGTAGACAAACCCTTTTGCACATATAGTACTGCATTGTCAGTGAAGGCAAACATGGGTATATGGATGGATAGATGGGTGGACAGGCTGAACTATTAGGTATGTCTGTGAAGCAGGGAGTGTACCCAAGACCATGTATAGGGTTGGCAGACAATGGCCCTATAAGTGTATTTGCATGATCTGAATTCCCAGATGTATAGTAGAGCTGACAAGAAACAAGGCTATAGTCACTTCTTGGTCACAGCCAGCTACCCAGAGGAACTGAGTAGTTGAACCTGTGGGCTCGGGACCCTAGTCACGGGGGCATCAAGTTCAATTGACATAACATACTACACAAAACATTGGTCAACCTCCTACTTTGGTGAGTAGTGACTGAGATCTTAAAAGCTTGCAAGCAGCCATCTAGATGCAACGATGGGTCTCTCCTTGTCCAGAGCAAAGAAAATGAAGAAAACCAAAGATTCATGGAAAGAATTAGTCCTAGCGACTGGTACACCATGCGATCCTCAGTTTGTATGACTGTGAAACCAGAAAAACTAGATGGTACCTGGCTACCACTGTCATCCACTGGGGGGTGGAAATCTATGTAGGAGATCCTGGATAGAAAGGGAGAACAATGTGGAACAAAACTCAAAATCATTTGGAGAAATAAAAGGGGGACCAGTTTTGCTGGTCTGATAGAGCCTGGTGGAACCACTGAGATTCTGGCCCCTAGCTGCCCTTCAGGTCTGGAATTGAACCCACACCTGTGGCTTCCAGCCAAACAAAAGGCAAGCATAGGAGTTGAACATTTACCTCAGGTAGATACACTCCTTGGAGAGAACAATCATGGGAGAAAGAAGGGCTGCTTATGCACACGGAGACAAGTCAGGGGGCAGGAGTGCATGGAAGGAAGGACACAGGGAAGAGGTAACTATGGGGAGGAAGTAGGAGGGGAGCTGTTGCTTTGTGGTGAATTGTGGTCAATGTCATGAGACAAAGTGTATGTGAATTGCTGTATGGAAAGTGAATTTGCTCTGGAAACTTTCAGCCAAATCACAATTAAAAAAAAAAAAAAAAGATGTTGCAGAGACTACCAGAAAGATGTTTACCTGTGTTTTATTGACTATACAAAGGCATTCAACTGTGGATCGTAACAAATTATGGACAATATTGCAAAGAATGAGAATTCCAGAACACTTAATTGTGCCCATGAGGAACCCGTACACAGACCAAGAGGCAATCATTCCAACAGAACATGGGGATACAACATGGTTTTAAATCAGGAAAGGTGTGTGTCAGGGTTGTATCCTTTCACTATAATTATTCAATCTGTATGCTGAGCAAATAATCCAAGAAGCTGGACTATATGAAGAGCAAACATCAGGATTGGAGGAAGACTCATGAACAGCCTGAGATATGCAGATGACACAACTTTGCTTGCTGAAAATGAAAAAGACTTGAAGCACTTACTGATGAAGATCAAAGACTATATATAGCCTTCAGTATGGATTACACCTCAGATAAAGAAAACAGAAATCCTCACAACTGGATGTGGTGCATTGAATTACTTTATATGGCTCTTGTACCATGG